GGGGTGTAAGTTGGAGAGAGGACAACAAAGATGAAGCTTAGCATTGCCCGCGGAGTGAGGGGCGATATCGTCGAAGAGGCTGACAAGGAAGCCGTGAGGGTGGCTATGGCCTCTCCTCCTCCTCCTCCTCCTCCTCCTCCTCTTTCCCTCACCTCGTCCATCTCCTTGTCTCACTGTGCAGGGGAGGGAGCACGGAGAGGATGAAGCTTTTGAGCGAAGGAACTGTAGCTTCGGTGGGAGATATCACCAGTGGTGCTGACATGGCAGGCATTGGTGGATATGGCTTGTCCTCTTCCTGTTACTTCTTGTCCTCGTCATCGATGCCCCCCCCATCCCAACCTTTCGGTTGTTGAAAATGATGACCACTGCTGCTGCTGCTGCTGTCGGATATGCAAACGGTGGCTGGCCAATGTCCCAACGCAGGTCGTCTCGACTGGGTGAACAAGAGATAGCAAGGGGCAGAGACTGTGAGAGAGGAGGAGTTGCGGATGGAGGGAGGAGGAGTAGTAGCCTTCTTCTTGCTCCACCTCGGGAGGGTGTTGGTGACAGGAGGGTAGTGGCCGTTGGGGTGGAAAAGAAGATGGCGCACGCTCTTAGGTTCAAACTGCCCTGGCTCAAACTGCCTTTTCTGTTGTCGTCAGGCATATCCATCCGAACCAGTGTGTACGTGCTGGTGATGTTAGCTGTGGTGTGGTTGTTGATTTTTGAGGATGGTGATTGCAGAATGAACGTCTTGTGTAGGTGGGATGTACGGAACTCGTCGTTTTTTGACTTTCCATCCGCTTCGGATGTTTCTCGCTCTTCGTTCTTACCTTCTTCCTCCTCCTCCTCTTCTTTGCAGGTGACTGGCACGGGTGGGGAGCACCGGGGCCGTGATGACGGTAGTGTGTGTAATGCATGGTTAGCATGCAGGTTACGTCATCCGTATGGGTTTGCGGATTTTCCGGCTAGGGATCCCCCCCCGAGGAGAAAATCTCGCAACAGGGATGGTGTTGGTAGAGGACTCCGAGAGGGAGACAGTCCAGGGCGAGGAACTGGAGATGGTGCTGGAGGAGGAGGAGGAGGAGGAGGAGGAAGAAAACAGACGGTACGCAGAGGCGAGACAGGCACCGGAGCCCCGGACGTTACGCTCGGCGTTAATAACAAGACCGACATAGCTGATGACAGCAATGGTGCAGCAAATATGACGAGCATTGCGACTGGCGTAGAGGGGAAGAAGAGGGGGGCACAGTCTGTTTCGGCTGGCATAGAGGGGAAGAAGAGGGAGGCACTGTCTTCCCTCCCCCCCTCGATTGATAGTGGTGGTAAGGCTAAAAATAGAAGTAAGGGTAGTAGTGAGAACAACTGGGCGCAGTGGCCGCCTTACTCGACGTCATCGCTTCTCCAGTCTGGGATGAAGATGCCTTCTCTCGAACACTTCTTCATCTCCGCCGATCTGTTTGCTGCCCGTGCGATTAATCGGACGGTTATCCTCACTTACGGCAATTCCGGCTCGTGGGATTTTCTGATCAACTGGGTGATGCATGCCGAGCGAGCGAAGATCTCCAACTACTTCGTCGTTGCTTTGGATATGGCGGTGCTGCATGATTTCTACGGTTGCGGCGTACCTGTGGCCATTCTGCGCTCGATACCGCTGGCGCTATCTAAGTGCTCTTCGGCGGCATGGGGCACAGTGAGCTTCAAGAAACTGCAGGCAACTAAACCACGGATCATCCTCGAGACGTTGGAGGCCGGGTTCGATGTGCTGATGTCGGATGCGGACCAGGTGTGGCTGCGTAATCCCCTCTCCTTCTTCTCTGCACACCGTCTGCCGGATCTGCTCATTTCCACCGACTGCTATCTGATACCTGACAAGTTCGATGCTCAACTCTTTCGCGAGGGCAGAGATCGTATGGCGTCGCTCGACAGCAAACGATGGGCTTATTGCAATGCCCGTAAACCCGTGTTTAACGTTGGCTGTATGATGCTTCGGAGGCGGTCTGCGATCTTCGATATCGTCCGCGATTGGGAGAGTTGGATAGTGGCGCATCCAACGGAGTGGGACCAGTCTGTCTTCAACGAATTGCTAAGGAAGACGATACCCCGTGAGTCGACCATGGTTCGAACCTCGGAAGGCATATATTACCATGCCTACGATGGGACCTTGTTACTGGCCTCCCTCCCCCAGGGGCTGTTTGCAAATGGGCATGCTTACTTCACAGAGGGCTTGTCCGAGGCAGTGGACATGGGACTGTACGAAGTACCGTACGTGGTCCACGCAAATTTCATCTTTGATGCTAAGGTGAAGCGGCGGCGACTGCGGGAGGTGCGCTTGTGGGATGCAGACCTGCCTTCTTACTACTACGTCGGAGATGGTGATCACGAACACGATGGCATTGAAAATGAGGATCACGATGACGGTGGCGGTAACGATGACGATGATGACGATGCTGGTAAGGAGGGTGGTGACGCCGGTGGTGGTGGTGGTGGTGGTGGTGGTGGTGGTGGTGGTAATGCTGGTGATGACGAGCAGGATGATGGTGTTCAAAGGGAAGCAATGGGGAAGATGGCATCCAGTTCTAAGATGCAGATTATAAGCCTGGAAAGAGAAGGGAGGAAAGAGGAGGGTGGGGGGATGCTGGAACGAAATCGGGAAGGTACGGGAGGGAGAAAGAGATCAAGCAAGAGGAGAGTGGGGATGAGGAAGAGGAGGAGGAGGAGGAGGAGGAGGAGGAGTGGGTATCTGTCGTACAGGGACACTCTTTCTCTCACGTTGATTGATGCTGCGGGTCATGATTCTGACTACAACAATCTTGCCCTGGAAATCCAGATGCGGTGGCTGCGCACCGCTCTGGCGGTTGCCCATGTGCTCGATCGCATACTTGTCATGCCCGTTCTACGCGGCAATTGGGAAGGCCCTAAAGCGATGGCTGCGGTTCTGCCTAATACGCAACGGGCGTGGACGGATTTTTTCTTCCGTTACGACTTGCCTGAGGTAGAGGAAGTTTTGGACGACGTCATCCGAGACAGCGGCTTCTTGCGCAGCCGCTGGCTGCCACCTGACGTACTTCACTCCCGCATCATCGTGAGGGTCGGTGATCGATTGCACCAGCGCCGGGACACCTACCTGTCGGTCACGAGTGAGGATGCCGTGGTGAGTACGGCCGCGGCCACAGACGGTTTCGACGCTGCCGTTGATAAGGGTACTATTAGATATCCGAAAAGGCGTAATCGTCGCTGGAGAAGTCAGGTGCCTGTACCTACCAGAAGAGGCGATGTAGATGAATATGGGGATGGAAGTGGAGATGCTGAATGTCTATGGATCGGGGGCAGTAGCCGAGGCGGCGTTGACGGTGGTGGCGACAGCAAAGGAGGAGGAAGAGGAGGGGAGAGGGAGGGAGTGGAGAAGGGGGCAAGAGATGGAGAAGAAGGGGAGAATGGGAGCGAGAGTTGGGTTCGAGTTGTCTCGATCGGAAAAAATCTGACAGACGTTCAGTTAGAGGTGGTTCTTGGAAAATATGACCACGTTAAGTTGATTGAATTCGAGACGATGGAGGGAGTCTTTGCTGGATTCGCATCGCAGAAGGAGATGGACCTCTTCAATCACACGATGGCGGCTGTATTACAGAGAAGGGACACAAAATCCCCGTTCTTTCATTTCCCCCCTTATTGGTAGCTCCTCAAGGAAAATTCAATTCCTACCTTTTTTATTCTCTGTCACTTCAGTCCCCCTTTATAATCAGTTCGTCTTGAGTGTGCATGCCGATCTGCTGATCCGCGGATCCACCGATCTGCCTGATTTGCCAATCTGCCAATTCGCCAAACCGCTAATCTGCAGATCTGTCCATCTGCTGATCTGCCGATCTGTTGATCTGCCAATCTGTCGATCTGTCGATCTGCCGATCTGCTGATCTGCTGGTCTGCTGATCTGTCGGTCTGCCAATTTGTCGGTCTCCGGATCTGTCAGTCTGCCGAGCTTTCAATCTGCTGATCTGTCGATCTGCCGATCTGTCGATCTGCCGATCTGTCGATCTTCCAATCTGGCGATCTGTGGATCTGCCGATCTGTCGATGTGATGATCCGCCCATCTGCCCATCTGCTGTTCTGCCCATCTGCCCATCTGCCCATTTGCCCATCTGCCCATCTGCTAATCTGCCGATCTGCTGATCTGCCACCGCCCATCTGCCCATCTGCTGTTCTGCGATTCTGCCAATCTGCCGATCTGCTGATCCGCTGATCTGTCGACCTGTCGGTCTGCTGATCTGCCGCTGTGCTGCTGGAGACAAAACCACATCCTAGCTTTAGCATGCAACAATGGCCGGCGGCCACCATGATGCCGTATGGTTGAAGGTGCGTGTGCATTTCGTTTAGATCTCTTTCCAACTTCAGCAACATGGCCAGATGGCAGATAGAGGAGGGGTGGGGGGGGGGGCTGTCCAATCTCACGGGGGCGTACTCACACTTGGGACCTTTTTGACTCGTCTCTGAACGTAATTGTGATCGGATACATCCAGGTCGGGCCATAATTGCAGTCGGATACATCCAGGAACATCCTCGTCTGGTGAGTATGCTCTCGGCGATCTGAGTACACTCGATCATCACGTAAAGCGCTTGTCATTGGAGGATAATTTTCATTGGTTGATTGGCTGAGAAGGGTGCTCCCAAGTTCTCTGAGGAGGGGAAGTGCACTTCACACACACTAGGATTTCTTTACTGAATCTGGCTGTGATTCTGGTCTGATACATTGAAAGTTCTATTGTTCGTATGCCCGGGTGGCCAGCCCGCTCTCTGTGTGTGTTTGTAGGTTAACAGCCGGAGGTAAGGAGACGGCGAGAGGAAGCGGCTCAACCGAAATTTCTGTGGTGGTATTGCTTTTGGACGTTTGGAGAATTTCATAAATAGTAAATATTATGTTTTTTTCTCCCCCACTTTAGGTTCTAGAAGTTTGCATATCATTTTTTTTCCCGATCATTTTGATTCTTGAATAATAAATGATTTCTCAGGAGCCGGAACACATTTTTTCATAGACGATTTGGCTAGATATGGTTTTTACCATAGTGCGCTGTAGAGTTGTGTAGACGGTGTTTTTTTTTTTTTTTTTTTTTTTTTTTTTGGGGGGGGGGGGGGGGGGGGGGGGGGGGGGGGGGTGGGGGGGCGGACCGTGTCCTACCATCTTCCCCCAAACATAACACAGATGCGTCGTAAACGAATACAACGCAGAGGTTGCTTTCTATTCGACTACATACAACACATCTATTCGAATTTTGAACAGCCGCAGTATTCGAATACAACGCTCATCCATTCTATTTGAGTCATCATTTTTTTTTTTGAAAACTCGAATACAACGTTGTAAACGAATATAAGGCATAGGTTGCTTTTTATTCGAATACAACAACGCATATGCGTTCTAGTTCTATTTGAGTCATCATTTTTTTAATTCGAAAACTCGAATAGAACGCACACATATGCGTTATGTTCGGGGGAAGACGGTAGGCTTGCAGACAATTTGGCTTAACGGATAGATGAAGCACATCTCTTTTGCTACCTAATTGTTTGGGGGCAGTCTGCTCGTTCTGCTTTTGCCTATCTGTGGGTATAAAACTCGCACGAGGACGTTTTCGACTATTATGCTTTGCACAGAGATGTTTACTTGCTGCCTTTTCTTGCTACCTTTTCTCCACGATAAGAGAGAAATCTCCCTGCCTATTTGTTTCAAAAATGACGACTGTGTAACTCACCAGGAGGTCTCTAGGAGAGGTTTTTTACGGTCTACCTTTCTGTTTTTTTCTTTCCTTTTGTTTTTGACTTGCTCCATTTCTTCTCGGTTCTTCGCTTTGGTTGGTGCATGGTTGCTTCATGCATGCATGCATGCAAGAGGTGGGTCTACTTTCCAAGAGACGGTTGTTTTCGGTTCTCCTCTTGTTTTACAGTCAAAGGATGATGAGCCACATTATTTTCTGGTTGGTGCAGCCATTGTGGGAGCATGTGCAAGAGCCCAAGCTGTAGGGTAGTGGGACCCTAACTGTAGGGTCCTTGGAACCCTAACTCAACCCTTAACTGTGTTGTGCTTGAACCCTAACTGAATCCTAACTGTATGAAACTGGAAGTCTGGAACCCTAACTGAACCCCTAACTGTGGTGTGCTTGAACCCTAACTTAGACCCCAAGCTGTATGGTAGTGGGACCCTAACTGTATGGTACTTGCAAACCTAACTCAACCCTTAACTGTGGTGTGCTGGTACCCTAACTGAACCTTAACTCAACCTTAACTGAACCCCAACTGAACCCTAACTGAACCCTAACTGAACCCTAACTGAACCCTAACTGAACTGGAAGCCTGGAACCCTAACTGAACCCTATCTGAACCCTAACTGAACCCTAACTGTATGAAACTGGAAGCCTGGAACCCTAACTGATCCCCTAACTGTGGTGTGCTTGAACCCCAACTTAGACCCCAAGCTGAATGGTACTGGAACCCTAACTGTATGGTCCTTGGAACCCTAACTGTACCCTTAACTGTGGTGAGCTGGTACCCTAACTGAACCCTAACTGAACCCTAACTGAACCCTAACTGAACCCTTACTGAACCCTAACTGTATGACACTGGCACCCTAACCGAATCCCTAACTGTGGTGTGCTTGAACCCTAACTGAACCTTAACTGTATCATGCTGCAATCCTAACGGAACCCTAACTGTATGACACTGGAACGCTAACTGAACCCTAACTGAACTCTTAACTCAGCCCTTAACTGCAAGGTGCCGGGACTCTACCTGAAGGCTAACTGTGTGGTATTGGAACCGTAACCGCACCGTTAACTGTGTTGTGCTGGAACCCTAACTGGACCCGAAATGTACAGTGCTGCAATCATAACCGAACGCTGACTGTTTGATACTCTAACCCTACCGAGGTGTCGGGACTTGGGACCCTAACTTAAACCACCACTGCCTCTGTCACTCTTGGGAAAAATGGGAAAACTGGCAGTTTTTGTTTTCCCCCTTTTTCCAAACTTTTCGGGGGTATGTGGAGGCCCGACAGTTGGGCCTTGTGGGCCTGCCGTCCGAAAAACGAAAAGAAAAACAAAAGACCAAGTCGGGGAAGGCCGTGCACGAAGTTGTGCTCACACCAATACTCGCAAGAAAAAGTATCTAACTAGTATTGTGGCCAGTTTCAGGTTTTCGTTGTTCGTGCTTCTTCTTCTTTTTTTTTTTTCTTTGGGTTGCCCTGCCAGGGAGGCATGGCGCAGTCCACGGGCTGCTGACACTTTGTGGAGGAGGGCATGCCCACACTATTACTTTGCAGAATGTATGAACCCGTTTTCTTTTGGCCTAAGTTCCGTTTCAATTTTGTTTTGTCCTTTTCCTTCTTCCGTGGACCTGACACCCCTGCCGTAACGCCCTCACCTCAGGGCATACTCGCACAACAACTTTGGGATAGGTATCTACCTGGTATCGCGTCCAAAGGGGTGTTTTTTTTTTTTTTTGTTTTGTTTTTGTTTTTTGTTTTTTGTTTTGTTTTGTTTGTGTGTGTGGTTGTAACTTGTAAGCGTGTAGTGTTTTGAAAGTCTGGTCGTGCTTTTTTTTTTTTTTTTTTTTTTTTTTTTTTTTTTTTTTTTTTTTTTTTTTTTTTTTTTTTTTTTTTTTTTTTTTTTTTTTTTTTTTTTTTTTTTTTTTTTTTTTTTTTTTTTTTTTTTTCAGAAAAGTACCAGAAAAGAAACAAAATGGACCCCCCAGGCTTGGCTAAACTTGGTGCGCGGTGAAAATCAGGGTCGGCAAAAACAGGCTCGGAGGTACTAGTGGTGGTTTAAGCCTAACTCTATGGTACTGCAACCCTAACTATGGGTGGTGCTTGGGACAGAAGCTAGGCGGTTATAGCTAATGTGTGTGTGTGTGTGTCTCCTCTGTGTGTGTGTGTGTGTGTCTCCTCTGTGTGTGTGTGTGTGTGTGTGCGCGTGTCCTCTGTGTGTGTGTGTGTCTCCTCTGTGTGTGTGTGTGTGTGTGTGTCCTCTGTGTGTATTTAGGAGTGTCTAACGAGACCCTTATTCTTTATGACCATGCCATCTGGATGTGAAAACTTGGAACGGAGCAGGTCTATGTGCGTGAATAGAACACAGATGTATGTGTTCATAAATACGTTATGAGTTCAAGTCATGGTGGGCGCGGTGCTGTTGGGAGCGTCGTGTCGCTTCACACCATGCAAGAGTTTCGCGATGCATTGTCTGCGCGTCAGACTGCCTGGAGTTGGGAGGCACGGCGCTGCTATGCTAGCGCTGGGAGCGTGCTGGGGAGGAGGGCGGCCATCGCCGGGTCTATCACGACGGGAAGAGGACATGGAGTGGTGTATGGAGGGGTTTTCTCATTTGTGGTTGGTGCAGAGAGGGGAGCTGTCTTCATAACCAGCGCAGAGGGGCCCACAACTGTGTTGATGGACGTCAAGCTTATCTTCTATCGGGTGGTTGCTGTCAGCTATCTGTGATCCTGCTCTGCGCGACTGTGTACACTGTCACAGGCTGACGAGGTATGGCGGGGGAGGTGCTGAGCCAAGTTACGGTGAGAGGGTTCGCTTGTGAGGGAAATCCGGAGGCTGTCTTCCGATAGCCGCCCGTTTGCCACTTGTGGGTGACTATCCGATCGTGTGGCGTTAGGGTAATGATCCTTAGGGGCTGGGGTACCCTCACGTGGAGTGGAGTGGAGGGTGGTTGGCGGCAAGCGGTGAGGAGGTGGTGTTAGGGTAATGATCCTTAGGGGCTGGGGTACCCTCACGTGGAGTGGAGTGGAGGGTAGTTGGCGGCAAGCGACGAGGAGGTAGGCTTGTTGTGCAGATGGATTACGACGGATCGCGAAGGTGCGGTATCAAGGTTCCAATGATGGTATAGCTAAGGTAAGATTCAGTAAAGGGGCTTTACAAGGGAAGCAAGATGGTAGCGGCTATGGATTTTTTGTGCATCGCCTGGAGGAGTTGCCATGAGTGGGGGTGAGGCGCGGGGGGTCTTGCTTCCTCTTGTCACATTGCTAATCTGATTAACCCATGTTAGTATGTTCTGACGCCGGCTGATTAACCCATGTTTTTTTCTGTCGGGGGCTATTGTTGGGCTCCTTGTTTTCCACAAGGTATCTGTTGCGCTTGGCTTGGTGAGTGCTCTACAGGAGCCCGAGTGTAAGCTCCTGTTAGTGAATTACCCCATATCTGTATCGCTCCTATTCGATAGCACTGGTTAG